TTTGTTATTTATCTCCGAACGGTCGCAAAGCCATTCCTGTAGTATAAATTGTACAAAGTAGCATACAGAAAAACAAGTTTTCGACTTCACCATCTCACAGAATTAACGTTACGATCTCAGCGACCCGAGAAGTTCGAAAGCGTCGAACTTAGCGACTTATAACCGATCCTAGCTTTGCCAATAGGCCTGACTCGTCGAGAGAAATATCTCCGCCATCGATTTAACTAGTTCCGGTGAGGTTCACATAGCGAAACAAAATTAAGCAACTCTTTCTAGCGTCTTCTACTCCCGTGAGCCCGAACCTACACTCGATTCCATGGTTTGCGACTTTGCTTGCGCCGTTTCGGAGATAAATACTCCAGAGCGTCCACTAGTGTTTGTTTCAGGCATCAAGGTTTTTGTTTTATTTTTCTAGGTCTTCCTACGGACTATCCTACGGCGTCTTACTCCTCCTTTCCCCTCGAACTATAAAATACCCCTCAGTTGTCTCGGACCGCCTTCACCCATATCACGGGGTTTAGGTTTATTTCCTTTGGTCCTTGGTGATTGTTGTGTGTCTGTGCATATCAGTGCTGTGTTGAATAAGCTCCGGGGGGCTTGTACAATGCGCTGAGTCCGCGTTTTCGGGGGTCAGACGATCCTGAGGCTTATCAGCAGGATTGCAATCTGCAAAACCAACTACACCACTGGGTGTGATGGTCCGCACAGCCTCTTCCTAGTGTATAGAGTGGTGTACCACCAAGGCACAACAATTCCCACATAATTTAAGTCACTGTGCATGGAGATATAGAGATGCACTATCAGTCTGACCGAAAAACACAAAGATGTTGCTATACCACATGAACCACACATGATATCTTACTGCAAATACTTCTTAGCACCTCTCTAGGTATGCCCATCAATCATCCATCTTGTTATGGGTCATGGTCTCCACTTTTGTATACAAATCCTTGGCCTGTCCCATAGGATGTTGTACAAGGCTAGCAGAAGGTTTTGTATACATCTGAGGGGGGTTTTGTAACTGATTTGCAGATGATTTGTGGATGGTTTGTGGTGTTTTGCAGATGGTTTGTGAGGGATTTGTAAGGATTTCCAGGTTATTTTGTGGATGATTTGTATACAATTTGCAGGTGATTTGTACATGGTTTGTGGGTGATTTGTGATGATTTGTAGGAGATTTGTGATGATTTGTAGTGATTTGTGGATGTTTTGTGGATGTTTTGTAGTGATTTGTGGATGATTGTGGATGATTTGTAGTGACTTGTAGATGACTTTCAGTGACTTGTAGATGACTTTCAGTGACTTGTAGATGACTTTCAGTGACTTGTGGATCCTTTGTGGACATTTTACAGTCATTTGTGGATGTTTTGTGAGGATTTGTAAGAATTTGTATGTTTTGTACAGTTTTTTAGATTGGGTTGGGTGGTCTGTTGACAGCGCTGGGTACCATTTGTGTTGTTTTCAAGGGCATTTTTATGGCTTGTGACATTTGTGGTGACATTTCTACACTTTTGTAAATGCTGTGGGACATTTGTACCAGGTCTGATGGCATCACTTCTGTGGTGATGATGAGGACCCCCTGAGAGGTTCCAGTACATTAGAAAATATTTTTTCACCACTGGCTCTGGAACAGGATTCCGTGACTCATGAAGAAGTTCTTCCAGTGTGAAATGGGCACCCACATCAACCGTCAGATGATCATCCACCTTACTGTTATCTGGCTGGGCAACATGTATGAGATCTTGGGTGAGGATGACAAGGACATGTTGTCCTCACAGGCAGGTCATTCCAAGGACATACGTGACACCTGTTACGCAATTGTGCATGGTATGCTTGCTTCTGTCACGTCGGACTGCATGTTCCGATTTGGTTACATGTCTGAGTGGTTCTGGTGTATGGCCAGTCTTCATCCCACTAAGTCCACTCTCTCCCTTCCATTGCACACTCACCGCCAACTGCGTGATGAGTCAATGGAAAGCCCTTCCTCCCCCTCATCTTCATCATCCGGCTTTGACTATGTGAAGCTGGTGGACACTATTGGCGCACTCTTCGACGCGAAGATTGCAAGGATGGAGGAGCACATCCTTGGCGAAATTCAATGACTTCATTATTCATCTTACACCAAGCTGGCGACACGTCTGGCTGCTTCTCCTCCCAACCATCCCTTCGCTGTGTGTGTGCATTGGGCCAATAATATTCCATGAGAAGTTTCTGAGCCAATAATATTCCATGAGAGGTTTCTGGGCCAATAATATCCTATTGTTTCTTCTTATAAGGCTCTCAATCCTTGCCTGAGTATGACTGCAGCTGTGTCACACCCCCTCCCTCAAAAGTTGCCTCACTATCATCAACTAGATTTACTGTTTTCCATCATAATAGTGCTTCCATTCCTATGCCACATTGGGACTGTGGACACCCCTTATATGGCTACAGGTTTACTTAAGAGTCTGAGAGATTCCAACCAGGTCCCATCCAGCTACCGCTTTCAGCTTGTGCCCCTCCTGGAGCCTCTCACCAGCTACCGCTTTTTGTTCCTACACCCTCTATACTTTCCCCCATGTATAGTGGGGTATACAATGAATTCCAAATAATCAGTGTAGGACATAACCCAGCGCACAATGATATATGACAATGCAACACCAGCTGTACCCAAAAACACAAACATATCACTACTCCACAATGGAGACATGTGATATCCTCCTGAAGATTGTGGCTAGCACCTCTCCAGATATTCCCTTTCAATCACACAGGTTGCCCCATCCCTCCCAGTCCCATCTCTCAGTCATAGTGCCATGAGTGCCACTAGCTATGGCACACAGCAGTGACAACCTGGGACTGCTGCACTATCCCGGAAGTTAATACCAGTGGCGTATACCATGACCGGGAAGTCATTGGGAGGGATGGGGCAACCTGTGTGATTGAAAGGGAATATCTGGAGAGGTGCTAGCCGCAATCTTCCCACAAAACATCCACAAATCACTACAAAACATCCACAAAACATCACAAAACATCTACAAATTACTACAAAATGTCCACAAAACCATCACAGATCACCTGCAAATTATATACAAATCATCCATAAATCACCTGGAAATCCTTACAAATCCCTCACAAACCATCTGCAAAACACCACAAATCATCTGCAAGTCATTCATAAAACCCCCCCTCAGATGTCTACAAAACCCTCTGCTAGCCTTGTACTTCTTCCGTGAGATCTACGGTCCTGTGGCGGGGGAGCCACAGTCCATTACAGTCCCAGTTCCCACGCCATTTGGGACCCCGGCCTCTCCATTCCCCGTCCATCCCGGCCTGCTGGAGGGCCAGATACATGCCTCCCGTGCTTCAAATATTGTATATACTTGCAAATATAATCTATGCTATTGTTAGTAATATTTGAGGGTCAAAGAAGCACATCAGGCACTCGGGAACCCTACAAACGCGCGGGTGAGGTAACCAGATATCTACCCGAGGGACTGTAAATGCCAAGGCTATGGACTGCGAATTTCGCCAGCGGAAATCACATCGTGACGCGATTTGGCGTGGGCGCGCACCAAAATCGACCCCCTCCTCAGCTAGGTTCGGGTCGGGGAATTCACAGTCCCAACCGCGGCATCACAGTCCACTCGGCACCCAGATCTGTGGCTTGCCCCAAGCTTTAGCTGACCTACTTGCTTGCTCCTGGTATTTATTCCTTACTTAGCTGCACTGTACAGTAGCTGCACATGTACTATAGTTCAAAGAAATTTTATTCCGAATTTTCTACCCTACCGTACCCTCATGGAGGAGGCTGCATCTGCCCGCCTCCCGAGCTTGACTTGCAGCGGTGGCGGGAGTTGCTTATGTAATCCGATTAAGACCGTAAACTTTCCTATGATCAGATTCACATCTTGGTACAAGTCCACTGTTACATTGTACAACATCCTATGGGCCAGGCCAAGGATTTGTATACAAATACTGGAGACTACTATTGTTGTTCCAGCCATCCCACTACACTCTAGGCATCAGCAGGCTACAGCAATGGGCATGGCAGAACTGTGAGCAGCAGGCAGAACAGGGAAGCATAAGATGGGTGGCCATAAGCACACCAGGCCCAGACACATACACAAACTGAAGGCAAGGTCAATTGCACGGACTAAGGAACAAAGGAAATACAGTGGCTCAGTACATAGTCAAGCTGTTTGTACCTATTTGTCCCAGTGGCTCTGCATCCAATACAACCAAAACCTAACAAGAACTGCAGGACTAGTAAGCACTGGACTTCAGCCTGGGTTCCAGATGTATGCTGGAAAATGACACACCCTGCTGCCTGGAGTGCAGTGGGATGGCTGGGACAAGATGGATGATTGATGGGGCATACCTAGAGAGGTGCTACCAAGTGAAGTAAATAAAACTGCAGGGAGACATGGCAAGGAAAAGTATGCATCATTGTTCCAGGCACACTGTTGAGACCGTGGAGCCTGTGGCCTGCAAGCTTCAAGTTCAAGGGTTGAACATTGATCGGCTCCAGTTGAGACAGGGGGCAGACACATCAGTGATCTGTGAAACCAACTATCCTGACTGGTGTTAATTGGCAGTCACAGGGTCCTGGCTCTTGATTGGACAAACACCAGTGCTGCAGTGATGTCAGATAGTATGGTTACATGTAGATTAGATTACAAAATGACATGCTTCAGCTGTAATATCACCCTGATGAGAGCATCTGGTGGTCCTGGTGATAGGGTATGACCCATACATAAGCCATGTATATAATGGTATATTTTGCTAGTTTATGTTGAGGATGTAGCTGTTGTGAATCAAGGCATTCCATTGATCATGAGCAATGCTGCCCGGGCATGTAATCTAATCTATGTCTCACTGCACTATCCGCCATCACCACAGCACCTGTTTGTCCAATCAAGAGCCAGGACCCCATGACCACTGATTAACACCAGTCAGGGGTGGCTGGGGAAAGACACCAGACACAGTATTGCTGAAAAGCAGTAGGTATTTGTTTCTCCCACACTCTTAAGTAAACCTGTAGCCTTATATGAGGTGATTACAGATCCCAAAGGGCATATTGTGGCATGTGGTATTAGTGTAGCAAAATGCAAAAAACATTTTCAGAGCTGGTGGCACAAAAATAGTTTGTGGTTGATTATGGGGCACTGATGCACACAACTATATTATCTGAGCATGGAGTGTAGAAAAAGATCCCATATCTGATACCTACCCATCCAATGCATCCTATTGGGTACCCTATCAATATCTTCCATTTATAGCAACTGTCCACACATGTGTAAATAAGGGTTTGCATCCCTGGGGTGCTGTGAATCATTCTGTATTCTTGGCATTTTCCCCAGAATTTATAGCTGCCCTGGAAGCCAGTATAACCCTATTTGGACAGCTCTCCCACCCCCTACCCCGGGTTGCCATCCACAGGCCAGCTATTATGGCCCAGGGGCTATTACAGTACCAGCATAAACCCTGGGGCTACACTACAATTCCCCCAGCATGAAGTACAGCAGCTACAGTACCTGGTGTATTCAACTACAGGAGCAATTACAGGGCCAGCAGTGAACTACAGTAGCTAGCACAATGCTGGGAATTGAATTACAGGGCCTACTACGGGGCTGGTAGTGAAGTACAGTAGGTATTACAGTGCTGGATTGGGATGTACAGTAAGTACATGCTATATACAGCACTGTAGTTCATTGGCTGGCAATAGTATGCATGAATTTACCAGCATACCTTGGGTTACTGTATTACAATGGTAGGAACCACTGGTGGCACCACACTGAGGAAAATTGCCAGGAATAGTGCTCAGGGCAGAGACTCCCCAGGGCCACGGCCCTCCACCTGTCTCCCAGGCCCTTCTGCTGCCAAAAATGTCTCCAGCTAGCGCAGTGCTGGAGAAAACAAAATGGTATCATCACTGACACTGGACTGGTTTCAGAGCTGGTACTCAGCAGTCAGCTGCACAAGAGTCTCCTGCACTCTTTGATGGTGTGCATCCCCCTCAAACCCCCACTCCCATGTCTCTGCTGCCTGTACAAAAGGCCAGGCCCAAGAGGCGGAAGCAACAACAGAGGGAGAAACTATCCAGGAGCATGCCTGGAGTGTGGTTCAGCTAGGTGGACCATCAACTGTACATCCTGTGCAAGACCATTCTTCTGTCCCTTCCATTCACTTGGAGTTTCCTTCCCTGCACAATGGTTCTCTGGATGACGGCACCTCCAGGTGTGTCTAAAGTGCTTCTCTGATGCTCATATGCAAGGATGGTGTGTTGAGTGACTTCTGAGATCACACAAGGTACTATCTGGGTCAGTCTGTGTCCCCCTACACCTGCTTTATGATCCCACTGACCAGGATAAAATAGGATGCACCCATTAACATGCATGTTAATCCTGCAAGTCCAATGTCTCATGTATTCCCTTCCAGGACAATGGGCAGTAATTACAGCTTTACATTACAAATGTGCTACAGCATGGCCTCTCCAGTTGGGACCATCAGGGTTCAATATTGACATCCTTTGTAGATGTTGGTGATTCCTGGAAGAAGTGCATGGGGAAACTAAATGATTTTGCTTCAAAGCTGAACAATTCCCACAGCATGGCATACCATCTTGAACACCTCACCTTTCCATGTACATCACCAGGTCTGTCTGGGATTGTGATAGGCTCCTTACAAATTGTACCAGTTCATGACAAGCCAACACAGGACCTGGATTGAACTTGTCATGAGATTGTTAACATAGTTGGTGATCATGACATTATTAGACGTGGCAGGGATAGACCAGAAGGACACTAAAGATGCCCAGAGACTCAGACACAGACACAGACACAAACCGGAGGCTAGTATAGAGCAACGGACTAAGGAAAAGTACATCCAGTAGAACAATTACCAAAAATGCGAAACTGTTTGTACCTATTTGGTTATTGTGGCTGCTGAAAGCGTCCGATACAATCTAATCCTAACAGATATAGAGAGGGACAAGGATCTGTCATGATGTATTTGACCACATCACACAGATCCTTTGAGTGGATAGACATCTTTTGCAGGCACTTCTGTGGGCCGAACTGAGTGTGGTGCTGGTGGCCAACCAGGTTGACAGAAATGATGAACA